TTGTTAAAAATAACAGGTAACTAATAAAATAATTAATATTTATTATCTAACAAAGTAAAAAAATTTATAAACAAATATTTTCAAATATCATAATTGGTGCTTCCCAAATATAAAGTGTTATGATTATAACTACTATTAAATTTGTTAAGGTCACCAAAAATTGTCAAATTTTTATTTTAATTTAATTGTTAAAAATAACAGGTAACTAATAAAATAATTAATATTTATTATCTAACAAAGTAAAAAAATTTATAAACAAATATTTTCAAATATCATAATTAATTCTTTTAAAAAATAAATCAATAAAATTATAATTAAATTAATGATAATAACCCCAACCATATAGAGTTGTTATATAATACTAAGTTACTTATCACGTTGCATTATAATTGTTATTTTGTGACGCAGTAAGTGATAATATCCAGAAAATAGAGCAGTGCTAGGGACAATCGCCCCTCGCACTCGCCAATCAACACCTCCCCATCCATTCGGCCACATCACCTTACTTTTGAAAGATTGACCGGAAACTGTTAAAAAAAAAAAATTTGTCAAAGGCTCCAGAAACGGCTGAAAAATGCATGAACTCAACAGGGTTGGGGTAGATATGAATTATTATCCACCACAGTAGAGCACCGACCAGTTACTAAAAATCCAACTGGGCTTGCAGTTGTACAATTCAGGTCCAACTCATAACGAGCACTTTGTCTTTCAACGTGGGAGGCCCAAAAGGCCGAAAGAGACACAGAAAAGATGTTGATTCCTCCTTATCGATGGTTATGACTTTTGAGCTTGATTGTCGAGAGACTTTCGACTTTCGAGATAACTGTTGTCAAGAATTGGGGACGAAGAATATACTCCCAAAAACCCAGTGGGAGGGTTCCAGAGAAGATCAGGAATTGAAAACCTTTTTTTTTTCTTTTGTGTGTGTGTTGGAAATTGGCTGACTGGCTTATTTATTTGATTCTTCATGTATTTGCCTTTTTTATTGGTAAATCTTCACGCAGTTGCTTTTGTTGCTTAATCGTTTGATGATGATTTATCAGGTGCTTGAGGATGGTGTTCTACATCCAGAAACAACAGTGGCGTCTATATTCCAATAGTGATTTGTCTTGATTATATTAGTGCGGTTTCAGATCCATAACATCACGGGTGCATTCCACTAGGTACCTGTATTACATTTATTCATTATCAGGAACAAGGTTAAATGCTCAAAGTTCAACGAATCTGTCATTTAACCAAAAAAAAAAAAAAAAGAAGCGCCAATCAGCAGAAAGTTACCTAATTTGCAGAACCCTTGTCTTCTTATAGGATTGTTTTTAGAAAATTTATAGCAACTGACACAAATTCAGTTTGATGCTTTGTGTAACAATGATCTGCTCCCTCTACAATCTATAATTTATGATTAGGTATGATCTTAGCAAACTCAAATGTATCTTCAATTAGGATTTACTTGGTCAGCAATTCTAAGGATTGTCAAGACCACTAGAAATATATAGCATGTTGGCAACCACTGACTGATTAGCATCAGCTAAGCATACTAACAATCTAATATACTAGAAAAATGAAAGTAAATAGCTAATTATTAAGACTTTTTCTGAAGATAAAAATGGGTAGTCAATAAATTTTCAACAAAGGATAAGTATTTTATAGATTATGTTATAACCCAATTTTTATCAGGGGTTAAATGATAAGGATAGAAATATATGGAGTATTTTTCTAAAAGCATGAAACCTGAAGGGCTGAGGGGAAGAATTAGAAAAACGACGTCGTTTTGCTTGAAGGTTGAAATAAAAATAAAGGTTGGGATCCCTAAATCTACTCGAGTTTTGAAGAAATTTTCGGAGATTAAAAGTCATCATCAAGAGGCGCAGAAGAAGAGTTCAAAATTGATTCAAAGTGGGGAGTTCTAAGCATAAAAAGTATGAATCTAGACTTGAAATGGGAAAAACTAAGAAATCCCATTCCAAATAGGATTAGGTTATTATCTTAGGGATTTAGATTGGATGTTAGAAGCACATTAGGATTAGGTTTTCTTTTTGTCTATGAAAAAGGGCTTTGGCCACCCAAGGGGGCAAGGAAAAATTGCAGAGGTTGAGAGTGAGCGGAGAGATCAAGAAGGAAAAAAAAAAAAAAGAGGAGAAATCCAAGAGCTGAGAGGGAGAAACAGAGGAGAAACAGCAGAAGAAGGAAGATATAGGGAGTTTCTCTACTTCAGGTGTGTATATTTTTATCCGAGAATATGGAAGAATTTGGAGTTTTGAATATCAATTTTCTGTGGCTGTTTTCCTTTTCTTTTGTTTCCTGGTTGCTATATTAATCTGTTCTTTACATGGTTTGTCCACAAATAATCTTGAGAAAAATTTTTATTGGGTTTATTCTTGTTGCATGCATCTTTTCTTTCTTCATTTGTTTTCTCCTGTTCTGTTCGTCAC